CCCTTTTCTCCCCTCACGCTCCTGCCGCTTCCCGCCCTTTGGCCGCCTTCCGCCTCCCGTTGAGCCCGGCAACAGGTGACGGCACAGGCTCCCCGCCAGCGGTTTGGAGGCGGGAGAGTTGAGGGCAGAGGCGGGCGTCAAAGCTGTGTGAGAGGGTAACGGGTCTCTGAGGAGAAGCGGGAAGCGCCAAGGGTTCTGAAGGGGCAAGGGGCGGGGTGTGCATTATGGGGTGGTATGGTGGAAACATACCACCAGGGATGGTGGTAACACTGTGGCTGTGGCTGGGGCATGAAGGGTTTGTGGGTGCCTGGCAGGTACTGGGGCGGTGGCTGGGGCGTGAAGGGTTTGTGGGTGCCTGGCGGGTTGGTGACGGTGACCAGTGGGTTTGGGCATGGTGGGACTAGGGTCTCTTGAGGGTAAACCGGAGCAGGGAGGGGGACGCGGGGCTTTGGGAGGGCCGTGGGGCGTGGCAGGTGGGAAAGGCACGGTGGTAGCCAGCCGCGACCAAGCACGGGCAGATCCGCGGGCAAGAGCCAAGAGAAACAAGAGGCGCCAGCATGAGGAGGGGGAAAAGGTGAGCGGCAAGGGGGTTGTGGGTGCCTTTCTCTGGGAAGACCCAGGTTCCCAGCTGTCCCATGGGGCTGCTGGAAACTTGCTCAGTATTAAAGCAGCATTCAGTCGCAGCAGTGTTCGTCAACTGGAGAAAACACCCCAGTCACCTTAGCAAACCCAGACCAGAAGGTTGCTCGCCCTCCAGAGGGCTTGCACTGCCTTGTCCGCCCGCCGTCCCCTTGGGTGTGGGGTTACCTGGTCCACCATGGAGGGATCCCCCTGGATCCCATCCCCGTGCACGGAGAAGACCAGCAGCCTCCCTCTCAGGCAACTCCTACTTGAGCCGAAACCCCTGCAGAGCTGCAGTTTCAGGGGACCGAGAGTCTCCCGTGTTTTCCCAAAGCTCTTTGTTTTGTGGGTTGTTTTTTTTTGTCGTGGCTTTTCCTTTTAGTTTGCAAGACTTCTGTTAGGAGCCGTTGAGAAGCATTTTGTGGCCCGGCTGTTCTGCAGCCCCTTCTGGACCAAGCAGCCCATTTGCAGGTGCGTTTACTAACGGTGGATTTATGTGCACGTGTATTTATCCCCCACTCTCTCCCCAGGATGGGAACTCGTCTCTGTACGGAGGAATTTCGTGACGGAGGAAATCACGTAGGTAAGCTAGGGGACAGTGAGAGAAAGGAAACAAACAAAAAAAAATAACCGACCCCCAAAAAGCAGCAAAATTATAGATGATATATTACAATACAACTTAAAAAATTACTTACAAAACATTATACAGGCTGCCGGCTCAGCACCAGGGGGCACACCTCTGCTTTTTAAGAAAACTAAAAAGCAAAGACCGGTGCCCCTCTAAACTTCTTTTTATCGGATGGCACCAAGAACATAATTTTTTACTTTTTTTTTTTATTTTTTCCTCCCCTCCCTCCTCCCCCAAGCGCTGGGCTGGGTTAATCTCCATGCAGAAATTCACTTCTTGGGGTTTTTTTGGGGAAATCCAAAATTACGCCGCAGGGACCAGTATTGATGGTTGTATCCACTCCTTTAAATAATATAATTAATTTAAAAAATAAAAAACACAGTAACAACACAACGTCCTTCTTCCTCACTTCCTTCCACGGGCTAGGGATAGGCTTTGTCAGAGGCTTTTTAAATACACCCATTGTAAGAGGGGTGATTTGCAATGACTGGAGGTAGGACTGAGGACAGGGACTGGAACCCCTTTGAGGGTTCAGCGGGGAAAAGAAGCAGCACCCTGATGGGACAGGGAAGCTTTTTTTCAAATTAATTAGCCTTGATTAGCAGAGTAGCGAAGGCAAGCGGCCGCGCCACCTATATGAGTCAGGTTGGGCCAGACTACGGAGCCCAGGTAGGTCGGTGCGTTGTCGGAGGTGGACAGAGACCGTTGCTGTGGGGTTGCGCACAAAGGAGGTAACGCTCCTGGGGACAGGTGCGTCCCTGGGTCCGGTCCCTCCTGACCCCGAGAGACCGGCTTTGAAGCACGAGGGTTGCCGTGGTGCAAATCCACGCGGGGAGAGAGGTACGAGAGCTCTCTTGGTGCTAATCCCAAACACGTGCTAGCGGTGCTTGACCAGCCTACCAGCGTCGTCCCGGGCTCGCTCGCCGCGTTAGGCTTTACAACCCTTCAGCTCTCCAGGCAGAAAGCAGACCCTAGTACTGTTGCCTCTGCTTGGCGGGTGCGCTCCTCGAGGGGTTCCCCCTGGGGCGGTGGGGCCGGGGAGCATGGAAAATAAGCCCTGGGAATGCTGGGAAAGGGCACTGGGATTCGGAGGGAGATACTGGGAGGAAGGGAGCACTGCTGGGCGCCAAGAGAGGTAGCCAGTGGATCCGTTAAAAATTTTCCTCTCTGTCTCTCTACATATTAAAATATAGATTTATTCTAAGCGTTAAAGTCTCTTTGGCATCTCTCCAGACCCTGGCCCCTGTGGGGGCGGCAGCAGCGGCGTGTCGGTCTCGGTGCGCGTGGGCAGGGCTGGCACCTCGGCTCCTCGCAGCAGCAGGTGGGTGACGTGATGCGAGGGGGAGGCGGGTCCTGCTGCTTCGCCGCTCGGAGGCGGGGGGGGGGTGCGGGGGGGGGAGGGGTGGCCCGCTATAAGCATAATGGGAACCAGGGTGTGGCAGGGAGGGTGACGGTTGTTGGGGGGCGGTTTGGTCCTAGCCGAGGAAACAGACTGGGCCCACCTCGAACCCGAACCTCTGGCCGGGCTCACCAAAGTCCATGACGCGCACGTCCAGCAGCGGGAGCTGCTCCAGGCGGGGCGTGCTCACCTCTAGCACCGTCCGGCTGGAGCCCTTTTGTGCCTGCAGGGGAGGGGAGGCAGGCGGACAGGTCAGGGGCTGGGGGCCACCGGGAGCACCAGCCTGGGACAGGTTCACGCAGAGCAAACCCTTCTCTTTATCCAGCGGCCTCCGCTGCTCCGGCATTACCCAGGCTCAACCCTGGAGTGTCTCTGTCCAGCCACCCCTTCTCCCTGGACCATGGCATTTCACTGGATCATCCCCCGCTGGGGCATCGCTCATGGCACCCCCAAAAGAAAGACCCTGCCTTCTCGCAGTTCTTCCATCCCGCCATCTTGGTGCCTTCCAGTGCTTCCTCTCTCCTCGCTACCCGTTTGTGCCTTCACCCATCCCTTTTTCTTCAACTTTCTCTCCCCATGACTCCTCCAGCCCCATGTATCTTGCTTCCACTTACGTCCCTCTCCCCACCGTCCACCCCTGCCTGCTCCCCTGCCGCGCTCACCGCGCAGCCGTCCATCACAGCTTTGATGTAGGGACTGGTGTCGTAGCTGAGCTCCTCCTCGTTGGCAGCCAGGAAGCGGAGGGCACGCTGGTGGTCCCGGGAGGTGGTGCTGTGCCAGGCCACCGAGCGGTGGCAGTGGTAGGTGAAGTTCTGGCGGGCAGAGACGCTGAGGAGCCGTAGGAAGGTCAGCTGCACCACGCCGAGGGGCTGGCTGTCCGAGTCCACGTAGGAGAACTGCGGGAGCGGGAAACGAGTTAATGGAGGCCGACAGCCAGAGGCGTGTGAAAAGTGGGGCTGGAGGGGGTCTGCTGCTGGGATCTAGACCCCCCTGGAGGAGGCAGCTGGGGAAGGGGAGAGGGTCAAGAAGGGCTGACAGGTTCAAGGCCAGGTGGGGGACATTTCTCTCTCTCCTTAGAGGAAGAGCCACTCCCGAGACAGCACCAAGGTAAGCGGCTGGGGACGCGCTGAGAGCGTTACAGGAGAGGACAAGGGTGTAAGTCGGAGTGCAGGCAGGGCGCCTGGGAAAGGCAGGAGGGCGTCCCAGGGGCTCAGGCAGGAGGGCGCGTGGGAGCGGGTGTTCGCAGACCACATCCTTCCTGGAAGAGGAGGGAGACCACCCGCAGGGAAGCCATTCCCCAGGGCCTCACCCGTCAGTGCCGCAGGGGGCTCAGCCCACCCCCGTGAGCCGGCAGCATCCTTACCCTGCTGCCCTCCTGGAACTGACTGAACCACCGCTGAGGCACCTCCTTCTCCCACGCCGACACCTTCACCTGGAAGAGAGGGAGCCATGAGCGAGGCGGAGAGCACCCACGCCGCCCTCTTCTCGTGGCCGATCCCCACCACCCAAGGCTGCACTGGGACCCTGCACGCCGAGCTGCCCCCCACTTCCCTCACCTCCTGTACATCCTTGCTGGGAAAGACGCAGGTCTCCCCGCCTGCTGTGAAGTTGCAGTAAACCTTGAAAGAGTCTCGGGCGCAGCCCTGGTTGGGGTCAATCCAGTACTCGCCTGCGCAGGGAGGAGACGGGTCAGCACACGGGGCGGTGCTGCTGCGCTAACCGCCATCCTTCCCCTACCCGATGCTGGCACGGCTCACCATCAGGCAGGCCTGGGTGGCTGAGCTGCAGGTCCTGGCAGGTGCGGGCAGGGTTGTCCCGGGTTCCCATCGGGCGCCGCAGCCCCTCGATCTCCTGCTTGAGGGAGTTGAGGGAGCCGAAGATCTCCTCCATGCCGTCGGTGTAGTCGCGGGCCGCCTGGTCGGCGGCTGCTCTGTCTCCGTCCTCACCCTCCTCTTCGTCCACCAGCTTGCTGGCGTCGATGGAGCGCTTGCTCTTCTTGGGCAACTGGATCGGCAGGGGCTGGATCACCTCCCCGGGGGGGCCCTGCGGCAGGCACAGCACTGTCAGCACCCGAACACAGGGGGCTGCGAAGCCCCCGGGCCCCAAACCGCCCCGTGCTCAGGCTTTGAGATAGGAGACATCCCTCCGCATCCATTCCTGGGTGTCATTTTACCTACCGAGGAGCTGTTCCTACATCCCCCCCATCCCGTGTCATCCTTTCCCTGGCGCCAACACTTGAGCCACTCACCGGGTGTCCGGGGGGTCCCGGGGGTCCACGTTCACCTTTGGGTCCTGCTTGGCCCTAGAGGAAAGAGAACACTCACAGACATTAGCCTTGGGCAGGACTGAAGGTGGTGGCAGGGTGGGGGCACCGGCTCGGCACTTACCATGGCTCCCTTGGCACCTTTGGGACCAGCTGGGCCCTACAAAGCAAGGCCAGGTCTGTCAGTGGCCAGGGCTGGCATGGTGGGGTGGGGGGACAGCAGCCCCCCGCCCCTACAAACACAGGGAGGGAAACTGGGAGCCCAGACACAAGGACGAGAGAGGGGGAGCGAGCGAGCAGCGGGGCTTGGAGAGGGAGGGACAGGGGACCAGCAGCACGTGGGGGGCACTCACGGGAAGTCCGGGGGGGCCAGCGGGGCCGATGGGTCCAGTATCACCAGGGATCCCCTGCATGACGGGAGGAGAGCAGAAACCGGCGTGATGAAACCGGGGCAGCCCCATTCCCACCTCCCCCAGCACCCTGCGCCCCCCACACACACACACACACACAAACCCATCCTCATCCCCCCCAGGCTCCCCCATTCCCTGGGCCCCACACTCACAGTTTCTCCTTTCTGCCCCATGGAGCCCTGGGGGCCGGGGAGGCCTCGGTCTCCCTTCTCCCCCTGCTCCCCTGGGGGGCCGATCAGGCCGATGAGACCAGGGTGGCCCTGGGGAGACACAAGCAGAGATCAGCACGGTGCCGCGAAGCGGGGACGTGGTGGGTGCCCGGCGGGGGACCCGTAGGAACCAGCCCAGCGGGGTTTAGGGTCTTGGCCCCCCCCAAGTGTGGGGCATGCCCCACAGCGGGGTGCCGTGGTCCCCGACTTGCGTTGGGCGCAGCGGTGACCCAGAGCATGGGTCGCTCGCTGCACCTCGCTCACCTTCTCTCCTTTGGCACCGGTGTCGCCTTTGAGGCCGGGGAGACCCGGGGGGCCCTGCAGAGGTACACAGGCAGGCACGTGAGATGTGGGGAGCATCAAGTGGGGGACCCCCCTCCCCGGGGAGCCGTGGCGGGGGAGAGGGGGCCACACTCACCACTGGTCCTGGCGGCCCAGCCTGGCCTGTGGTGCCCGGTTTGCCTTGTTCTCCCTGCGCAGGCGAGAGGACAAAGCGAGTCCCACCGGTCGGGAGTCGGTGCCGCCGGTGGCAGCGCACACCCTGGGTGGCTCCCCGCAAAGCGCAAGCGTGGTGACAGGTCCCAGTCCCCTCCCAGGGTGACGGTCAGACCCTCGCCCCTCGTCCGCCCTGTGCCAGCAGACCCCACTGCGCTTTCCCCTCGGGCACGGGACCCAGGTGCCCATTCACCGGCACGTTGGCACTTACCACCGAGCCGGGCAGACCTCTGAGACCGTCAGGGCCCTGCTTCCCAGCAAGGCCCTGGGGCCCCACGGGACCCGTCTTGCCAGGAGCACCCACTGCGCCCGGTTCTCCCTGCGGGGACAGAGGAGCCGGGTGAGGCCGATCCCATACGCGGGCGCACGGAGCTTGGCAGCGCCGCTGGGGTCTCCCCATGGGGCACCACTGGACCCCAGTGTGGGGGGTGGGGG